TTAATATATTACAATTTTTTAATTATTTTATTATTATTATTATTATATTATTATTATTATTATTATTATTATTATTATTATTATTATTATTATATTATTATTATTATTATTATTATTATTATTATTTATTATTATTATTATTATATTATTATTATTATTATTATTATTATTATTATTATTATTATTATTATTATTATTATTATTATTATTATTATTATTATATTATATAGCCTCTTCCATAGTATAGAGGGCATATTCGGTATTCGGTATTTTGATGATTTTTGCCATATTTTATTATTATTATTATTATATTATTATTATTATTATTATTATTATTATATTATTATTATTATTATTATTATTATTATTATTATTATTATATTATTATTATTATTATTATTATTATTATTATTATTATTATTATTATTATTATTATTATTATATTATTATTATTATTATTATTATTATTATATTATTATTATTATTATTATTATTATTATTATTATTATTATTATTATTATTATTATTATTATTATTATTATTATTATTATTATTATTATTATTATTATTATTATTCTTATTATTATTATTATTATTATTATTATTATTATTATTATTATTATTATTATTATTATTATTATTATTATTATATTATTATTATTATTATTATTATTATTATTATTATTATTATTATTATTATTATTATTATTATTATTATTATTATTATATAGCCTCTTCCATAGTATAGAGGGCATATTACTATAGTGGACCCTTCAAACTACATATAATCTTAATCAGCGTAAAAGTTTAGTGGTTCTCTCTGTCTGTCTGTGTGATAAGGCTCGGTTTTTGGAAATTCGATCGGGAAGGGTACGAAAAATACTAAGATATACTGTGCAGGATAGATGTATCAAAGGGTTTTTGAAAATTCGAATTTTTTGGTTAAAAAAAGTTCTTAAATTGTACTAAACTCCTAAAATAATATCATTTGGTATTATGAGAATGGATAGAGCTAAAAACTTCCAACTTGGTATAAAAATCCAGGTTGTTTTGGAAAGGTTTGTGCATCTTTGTGTGCAAACTGTACTAAATGGTAATAAATTTGGAATCGTTTGGTTAAGGGTGAACGGATGAAGCTGGAATTTTGGTCGCTGTTGGTGGTAGGTTTGTGATAAGAGGTGGTTTTGGACACTACAAGTGCACGAAATCTACTAAATAGTCCAATATTTGGTACAATTTTGTGTTGAGTGAAGAATCAGTGCATAAAAGCTGAATGTGTACCATATTTGTACGAAAAGTATGGTGGTTAATATATGATGATGGTTTTGCATTTGCTTACTATGATTGTACGAAAAGTATTAAATGGTATTAATTTCGGATCACTGTTGGTGTCTAGGATGGAGTAACGTAGGTTATTTTAGATATGCGCTTTAAATGTTACTAACTTTGGTGTTTGGTGAAGAGATACAACTGGAATCCCGAATGGATACTGAGTTCTCTGTTGGCATCTGGAATTGAGATATAGAGGCGTTTCGCATATGTGTACTATAATCCAATGAAAAGAATGGAATTGTATTATATATGGTGTTGGGTAAAGGGATAGCTATACAATTCTGAAATTTGATATATATATATATATATATATATATATATATATATATATATATATATATATATATATATATATATATATATATATATATATATATATATATATATATTACTGATAGTGTCAGTGTTTGAGATTTGGCAGAGGTTTGTAAATGTGTCCTATATTTGTACGCAAAGTACAAAATGGTACTAAATTTGATTTTGGGTGAACGGATAGAGCTGGAATCACGAAATATGTTATTTAGATCGCTGGTTGTATCGGAGATTGAAATATAGTATATATGTACAATAATTGAACGAAAATTACTAGGTGGTACTAAATTTGATATTGGGTGAAGGTATAGATATCAAATTCTGAAACTTGATATTCAGACTACTGATGGTATCAATGTTTGAGAGTTGGGAGTGGTTTTGAAATGCATCCTACATTTGCACGAAATGTACTAAATGGTACTCACTTTGGTATTGGGTGAACGGATAGAGCTGGAATCCTAAAATTGCTTTTTTAGGTTTCTGTTGGCGGTTTTGGATATATGTACTGTAATAATACGAAAAGTACTAAATGGTACTAAATGTGGAATGGGATGAAAAGATAGAGATTAAATTCTGAAACTTGATATGGATGTCAATGTTTATTGTCTATTGTTGAGAAAGGAGTTTTTTGTTATTGCAAAATGGTCAGGCTTATCTCTTTATTGTTGTTTTTATAAAAACAACATTTGTTTATTAGTGGAGAACGATGGTAATGTTTACCAGGGGGCAAGGAGGTTTTAGATATGTGTCCTATATTTGTACGAAAAGTACTAAATGGTACTAAATTTTGTACTGGGTAAAGGGATATAGATACAATTCTGAAATTTGATATGGATGTCACTGGTTATTGTCTACGGTTGAAAAAGGAGCTTGTTTTAGATATGTGTCCTATATTTGTACAAAAAGTATTAAATTTTCCAAATATGTTATTTAGGTTTCTATTAGTATCTGAATTGAGTTGGACTCTCGAAATTTGATATTGAGGTGCCTGTTGGTATTCGGAATTAAGATATAGAGGTGGTTTTGGAAATGTATCCGATATTTGTACGGAAAGTTCTAAATTTGGTATTGCGTGAATGGATAGAGGTGGAATCCCGAAATTTGGTATTAGGTTCACCGTTGGTATCTGGTATTCGGATACGATAAGTACAACAAGGTACTAAAGGGATAGGGCTGAAATTTGATGTGGATGTCACTGTTAGTGTATATGGTTGAGAGATGGTGCTGTTTTGCGAACTATAATTGTTTGAAAAACAATAAAATGTACTAAGTTTGGTATTGGGTGGGAGCTGGAACCCCCAAATTTGATATTAAATTCTCTTTTGGTTGAGATATGCAAGTGTTTTTGAAAATGTGTTCTTTAATTACTAGGAAATACTAAATAGTACTAAATTTGGTATTGTGTGAATGAATAAAGCTGAAATCATCGAAATTGGATGTGGATCCATTGTGCAATGGTTTTACTAATGTCCCCGTCGAATTTAAAGATTTTCAATCCTTTTCAATACTCCTTTTATTCTTTGCGAAAAATTTGAATAACATATAAAACCTTAAAAGTCTGAACATTTAGAATGATATATGAAGTCTTCATTAAACATGTTTATCAAACTGATCAAATTGTGCATTTTGAGTACTAACAAGTAAATAAGCTATAAGTTCGCGGGCCGATCTTTGAATACCCACCACCAATTGGAACAAATTTGGAAATTTTCAAAAAAATAAAATCCGTTAAAATCTTAAAATCTATACGACGACGTGGACCTGCATAGGCAACTTTTGTCATAAACCATAACAATACTTAAATGCCAAACTTGAATAAGAAAATTCGGTGAATACTGCAGCTAAAATCATCAAAATTCCGAATATAGGGAGGTACTGTTATATGGTGCCATACGAAGACGTGAATTTGCACCGATAATTTTCTGTCATGTAGTACCCGTTATGAACTTCAAATACCAAATTTGAAACATTTCCGGTGAATAATGTCGCTTAAATCACTAAAATGTCGGTAAAGGGAGATACCATTATATGGGAGCTAAACCAAAACGTGGACCTACACCACCCATTTTAAATATCAAAAGTCCTGCAGACGTAATATACATTTTGTCAACCTACTTCATTTCGTTCGGAAGCTAGAGTGATTTCCACAGACGGACGGACATAGCTAAATCGACATAGAATTTTATGCTGATCAAGAATATGTGTACTTTGTGGGGTCTAAAATGTATATTTCGAGATGTTATAAACGGAACAACAAACTGAAGATACCCTTCATACTATTGTGAAGGCTATAAAAATGCGGACTGTAGAAACGAATCGTTTGTTTAAATTCATAAATAGTGGAGAGCTCCCAAAGCTATGCTATAAAAATTATACATACAAGTTTGAAAAGGTCTCTTTACATATGACACTAACATTACGTGTATGAATTGACTTGAAACATTAACACGTGCCAAAAACGGGATTTCGTTTCGATGAATTTAAGATTTCCTTTTTATTTCAAACTGTGTTTGTGCCAACTATGTATTAAATCAAATGCCCCTTTCGAGAGTCATAAGACAAGAGAGACTCCAATTGTCCTGAGGCCCATGGGACGTGTATTGGGGTATGGGCCCGTTTTTCGTGATAGGAATTTTTATGACATAATCGCTATCACCGCTGCCTGAAAGCCTGCCACCTCAATCAACGTTATTACAATATCTCTTCAACAGACCTGTCTCTTAATGTATTCATTCTATGGAGATCACCGGCTTTTTAAACTTGAGATAAGAATTAGACCCAAATTAATCAACAAGCTCGAGTATCCACACATTGAAGATGGTTCCTGAACGACAAAAACTTTTGACAAATTACCCAAAGCCTTTGGGTCCCAAAGATCTTTTAATTCAGCGTAATTAATTGAACAAATGATAATAATTTCCCTCTCTCACTGTGGGCTCCGGCACATTTGTTATTGTTTATCTCATATAGATTTCCTCGGGTAAACCGCCAGTAAATGCGCCAGGATGTGAGCATCAACACAATGAAAAACGGCATTCATATCGGTTAACCACTGCATCTATACCATATATCTAAAATGCGAACAGACATACGCACACATGTACAGCAACAGTCACCACACTCACATGAACACATGTGTATGTGTGCTCAAACATTTACATTCATATCTATCAGCCTTTATGTTGTTGTAGGTCTTTAACCCGGTTTCCCTGCACTTCTCCGCACTCACACACACACACACAAAAGCATTCACATATGCAGATGGTATGTCCTTTTTTCAGTTTGTTTGTTTGTTTGTATCTATGTTATTTATCTTTGTGTCCCGCAAAAAAAAGGACCAAGACCAAGTTACTTACCCGACCCAGCGTATTGTTATCGTGAATGGCCTGCTGCAGCATTTGTAGATTGTAGCTGGTGAATGATAACCAAATTAGGTCGCCAGGATAACCATGAAAATGGTATGTGCACGTTGTGTTTGGCGGAAGTGTATGACGCGGACTAACTATGCGTCCCATCCTTCCGCGTCGTGAGAATAAAACATCGTCTGTAAATGGGAGAAAAGAAAAAAAGCGAGAAAGAGAAATTAAAAAACATTTTAAACAATTGTGGGATTTAAATGCTTGGCTTAAATCAGTAAAGAAAGTCCTAAAGTCGGACGGGGCCGATTTTATGATACCCTACACCACTTTGCTAATTTAGTTGGGCTCCACATAAAAATTAAAAGTTTTTATGGGAGAATTCAATCATACACACTATGATTATTTATAATTTAATATTCAAAGGACTAAACATGCCAAAGCATTTATAGCTTTTAAATTCGGACTTGTATTGGCCATTCGGTGCAAAATTAATTTGAAATCGGATAAAGATATATATGGGAGCTATATCCAAATCTGAACCGATCTCGATAAAATTTGGCAAAGATATTTCTGAGCTGTATTTGATATATTTCCCTAAATATCGTTCTTACGGAGTGCATATTACGGCAGTGGGTAACAAATACAACAAATCGGATGAACAATATATATGGGAGATATAGCTATATCCGAACCGATCTTCACCAAATTTGGCATACTACCTTCTAGACTCAATTCGGTCGTATGTGCCGAATTCCATCCCATTTAGACGTTTGGGGCACAATAAAAAGTAAATCGGACGAAGTTATATATGGGAGCTATATCCAAATCTGAACCGATCTCGATAAAATTTAGCAAAGGTATTTATGAGCTGCATTTGATATATTTCCTCACATATTGTTGTTACAGAATGCATATTACGGCTGCGGAGTACAAAAATAACAAATCGGATGAACAATATATATGGGAGCTATAGCTATATCTGAACCGATTTCGATCAAATTTGGCATACTTATTTTTAGGCCTAATTTGTGTGCAAAATTCCATACTTTTCGGACTGATATTACACGTTTGGTGCACAATAAAAGGCAAATCGGACGAAGATATATATGGGAGCTATATCTAAATTTTTACCGATTATCTCCAATTTCAATAGGGTTCGTCCTTGGGCCAAACAAATGTTGTTTGGAAAGTTTCATCTAAATTGGATAATAAATGCGACCTGCATTTTGTTCACAAGAATAAATGGACAGACGGACTGACATGCAAAAATCAACTCAGAAAGTGATTCTATGCAGATCATCAAAAGGAACTATGGGTCTATCTCGTTTCCTTTTCCCTGTTACAAACAAATGCACAAAGACATAATACCCCGACCACCTTGCGGTGTAGGGTATAAAAATAGTGACCAGAACCATGTAGCAAAGGGGAAGAATCCGAATGGTTATATGTGAAATAAGAATATGGGATTTGGTGGAGATTTATTATTAAAATATTTATTTTATTTATTTATTTATTTATTTTTTTAAGGATCAAAAAGCCCCTCCTGAAAATCTCAGATTCCAGGGAAGCCTTCAATCAGACCTCCGTATAATTAAACTGAGATCGCCCACTGTACCGCCTAATTCTAAAAAGAGAAGCAGATGAACCATCCACAACAAAATCCTCTTCTTATATAGTTCAAAACTCGCCACGATCCAAGTGCCCTAATGGAAGAGCTTGGACAGCTTTTACCTTTGGTGAGGGTGGAGTCCTGATCTTATTTCGAAATGGATAACACACATTTATTAATTATTAAAACTCGAATTTGGACCTAGATGCCTAATAAAAAAATTATTTTGTTTTCGTACTTTTTTATACCCTCCACCATTCTATGGAGGAAATATTAGCTTTGTCATTCCATTTGTAACTCATCGAAATATTCATGACAGATCCTACAAAGTATATATTCTGGATCAGCGTAAAATTCTAAGACAATTTAGCGATGTCCAGCTCTCTGTTCTTCTGTCTGTGTGATAAGTCTGGGTTTTTTGGAAATTCGTACTAAAAGTATGCAAAACGTACTGAAATGTACTTAAAATTGACTGCACTGTATTGGAAAAACGAAATGATAGTCCGATGGTGTGCAAGAGAGAGATTTGAGAGAGAGAGATTTGGTGCTTTTTGAACGGGTAGACCTAAATTAAATTTGGTATTAGGGTCGCTGTGCATACACCTGGTTATACAAAGGTAGTTCCGGATATGTGCGCCATAATTGTACAAAAAGTACTATTTTGGAATTGGAAAAACGTCGTTTTTTGTACGAAAAAATTTAGTACTTAATTTGATATTGGGTAAAGGGATAGAGCTGGAATCATCAACTTTGATATTAAGGTCCCTGTTGATATCTGAAATTGAGATATGGAGATATTTTTGGAAATGTGTACTATGATTGTACGAAAAGTTCTAAAGCGGTATTGGATGAAAGCATACAGCTGAAATCCTGAAAATGGATATGGATGTCATTTTTATGGTTAAGAAAAGGAGCTTGAATTCGGAAAATTGATATTGAAGTTGTGGGTATCTGGAATTAGATATGGAGATATTTTTGGAAACGTGTACTATAATTGCACGAAAAGTACTAATGTGTACTAAACTTGGCACTGGGCGAAAGAATACGGCTGAAATCTAAAAATTTGATATGGATGTCACTGTTGCCGACTATGATTGAGAGGAGGAGCTGGTTTTGGATATGCTATAATTGTACGAAACGTACTAAATATTACTAGATATGGTATTGGGTGAAGGAATAGGACTGTTATCCTTAAATTTGGTATTGGAAATCCTGAAATTTGATATGGGTGTCACTTTTTATACCCTCTACCATACATAGTATGGAGGGTATATTAAGTTCATCATTCCGTTTGTAACTCATCGAAATAATCATTTCAGACCCAACAAAGTATATATATTCTTGATCAGCGTAAAATTTAGCCCTGTCCGTCCGTCTGTTGTAATCTCGCTACAGTCTAAACGATAGATAGAAAGCTAAAATCAGATCAGTCATTTGTGTGCAGGCAGATAAACTTCGAAGATGGGCTATATTGGTCCACGATATCGTATAGCCCCGTATAACGGTACCCCCGATATTCGGTATTTAAATGCTTTTAGCCACACTAAAAGTTCTTTCTGAGTACTTTACCCTCTGGATAGAATTGTTTATATAGATCCACGATATCGTATAGGTCCCATACAACAGTACACCCCGACATTCGGTATTTTCATAATTGAACCAATTTTTTTCAATGAAATTGTCTGATAATCCGCAAAAGGATTTCCTTCTGAGTACTTTACCTCCAGAAAGAGAAATGTCTATATAGGTCCACGATATCGTATAGCCCACATACCCCGGTACCCACGATATGCAATATTTTGACGATTTTAGGGGCATTTTTCACGGAGTTGTTTCAAATTTCGTACCAAGAATTCGTAATGGATACTATAGCCAATGATATAAAATTGCGCACGCAGGCCCACGCCTTCGTATAGCCTCCATATAACGGTACATCCCAATATTCGGCATTATGATGATTTTTGCGAAATTATTCACCGGAGTTGTTTCAAATATATTCGGTATTTTGATGCTTTTAGCTACATTATTCACCGGAATTGTTTCGTTCAAAAATGACAGAAAATTATCTATGCAGGTCCAAGTCTTCGTATAGCCCCATATATATGGGGTATATCGGTCCACGATATCGTATAGCCCCCATATAACGGTACCCCCGATATTTGGTATTTTGATCATGTTAGCATCATTGGAACATCAACATCAATGGAATTGCCTGAAATTCCACACAAGGATTCCCCTGTGAGTACTTTACCTCCTCAGAGAGAATTATCTATTTAGGTATTTCGTATTTTGATGATTTTAGCCACATTTTTTACTGGAATGGTCTGAAATTCCACACAAGGAGTCCCTTGTGAGTATTTTACCCCCTGAAAGAGAATTGTCTATATAGGCCAACGATGCCGTATATCCCCCATATAACGGTACCCCCCGATATTCGAAATTTTGATGATTTTAGTACTATACCCCCAGACATAGATTTGTCTATATAGGCCCACAATATCGTACATGCCCCATACATCGGCACCTTCCGATATTAGGTATTTTAAAGATATTTACAGAATTTTTAATGGATTTTATTTTTTGAAAATTTTCCAGGCCAGGCCGAACTTACTGCTTGAGAGAATGAGCTGGAATCCCGAAAATTGATATTGAGGTTGTAGGTATCTGGAATTGAGATATAGAGGTGGTTTGGGAAATCTCTACTATAATTGTACGAAAAGTATTAAATATTACTAGATTCGGTATTGGGTGAAGGGATCCTCGAATTTCTTGTTAGTCTCTGAAATCGAGATATGAAGATGGTTTTGAAAATGTGTACCACAATTATTCGAAGAATCCAGCTAAAGGTGGTAGTGTGTGAATGTAGAGCTTAAATCCCGAAATTGGATATTAAGGTCTCTGTTGTATCAGGCATTATGATCCGGTGGGGATTTTACAAATACATACTATAATTTTTTGAAAAGTACTAAATTGTACTAATTTTGGATCACTGTTGCCGTCTAGGAAGAATTGTTTGTTTTGGATGTTACTAAATGTGATTTTGGGTGAAGGAAGAGAGCATAAATTCTGACATTTGATATTGAGGTTGGTTTTTAGAAGACGTTGAGATAAATTTGGTCCCTTGTGCATTGGTTGTACTACTATCCCCCTCGGTAAACTTCAAATGTAAGATTTTGAAGACTTTGGTGTAAAAGGTAAACATTTTCTTATTATTATCTCCGAAAGAAGAAAAATTTGAAAGTGAAAATTTAGTACGGTGTATGAAGTTTTAAATAAAAAAAACTTTGCCAAACTGAACACGAACTGTTGGAAGGAATCTTAAATTTTAAATTTTAAGGTGGTCTTTTCGCTGACGAAGTAGCGGGCACCTGCTAGGGTATAAATATTTTTCCATTTGCTAGTGTTATTCTGAATAGTACTCTCATCGATAATCTCAAAAAAAAAAAAAAAAATTCAGTCAAACGGATTACGAATACTTGATTTGATGCCAAAATGATATTTTTTCGAACACCCAATATTAAAGGAAAATCCAAGTGTTTGGTTCTGATACTAAAAAAGGTATTTATGCATAAATAT